CTCACTATCCATCTCACTATCGGTCTCGCTCGATCGATCTCACTCAATCGATCTCACAATCGATCTCACTCGATATATCTCATTCGCTCGGTCTCACAATTGATCTGATTATCGATCTCACAATCGATCTCACATTCGGTCCCACTATCGATCTCACTACCGATATCACAATCGATCTAACATTCAACGTCATCATCATCATCATCATCATCATCACCAACACCATCATTTTCATCGTCATCGGGACACTGTCGTCGTCATCATCATCATCATCATCGTCATCATCATCAACGCCATCGTCATCAGGCCATCATCATCATCCCCATCATCATCTCATCATAGTCAGCAACATCATCATCATCATCATCATCATCATCATCATCATCATCATCATCATCGGCACACAGCCTTCGTCATCATCACCATCAGCATCATCAGCATCATCATCATCATCATCATCATCATCATCATCATCGGGACACCATCATGGTCACCATCATTGTCATCGTCAACATCAGCAACAACATCGGGACACCATCATCATCATCATCATTTAATCATCACCATCATAATCAACAACATCATCAACATCATCGGGACACCATCATCATCAGCAGCATCATCGTCACCAACATCATCATCAATATCATCATCGGTACACCATCACCATCACCATCATCATCACCACCGTCATAATCATCATCATCGGGATACCATAATCATCATCAGCAGCATCATCATTACCAACATCATCATCAACAACAACGGGCAGAAGCATCAACATCATCGTCATCTCATCATCATCATCATCAACAACATCATCAACATCACCAGCGGGACACAGCCATCGTCATCATCACCATCAGCATCATCATCGGGACACCATCATGGTTACCATCGTTGTCATCGTCAACATCATCAACAACATCGGGACACCATCATCATCATCAGCTCATTATCATCATCATCATCATCACCATCAACAGCATCATCAACATCATCGGGACACCATCATCAGCAGCATCATCATCACCAACATCATCATCAATATCATCATCGGTACACCATCACCATCACCATCATCATCACCACCGTCATAATCATCATAATCGGGATACCATAATCATCATCAGCAGCATCAGCATTACCAACATCATCATCAACAACAACGGGCAGAACATCAACATCATCGTCATCTCATCATCATCATCATCAACAACATCATCATCATCATGATCACCAGGACACCGTCATCGTCATCATCATCACCATCAACACAACCATCATGATCATCATCAACATCATCATTATCGGGACACCGACGGGGCACCGACGGGACACCGGCGGGACGCCGCGGGCCCCCGGCCGCCCGGAAGGGAGTCATTTGGTCCGGCCGCGCCTCAGCCACACGGGACACCAGCGGGACACCGGCGGGACACCGCGGGCCCCCGGCCGCCCGGAAGGGAGACATTTGGTCCGGCCGCGCCTCAGCCACAGGAGACTTTCTCTCGCCCGCCCACGCAGCTTCGCCTCGCCCGCACGGCACGCACGAACACGAAACCGAAATCGATTTCCCGGTGGGGGGGCTCTCCGTTCCACTTCGATCTCACCCCCTCACCTCCGATATACACACATTTTCCTCTTCCTATATTTTTACAAGCCCGGGCGGGGGGAAAACCCGTCACCCCCCACCCACAAAACCGGGCTCCCGGGATCTGGGGCTTTAGGGCCCTCCGGACGGGCCTCGAAGCGGCCCCCTGGGCCTCGCAGGACGTTTTGCCAGGCCTTCCCAGCACACCTAGGGCGATCGGGCGGGTCATCGGAGACGTCCCAGAGACCCCGAAGACAGCACAAGAGCGCTCCAAGAGTGACCGACGTGACGTCAAGACGACCCCCAAGAAGCCATCATATCCCCAAAGATCGTCCCGAAACGTCCCAAGAGGCCTCCAAGAGCACTCCCAAGAAGGCCCCAAGAGGCAAAAATCATGTATATTCTATTGGTTGTTGGTGAATTTGGGGGTTATCCTCTTTGGGGCTTCCCGACATTCCAAGACGGCGGTCTTCTGGGCGTCCGAAGCCGCCTGAGAGGCTCTAAAATCGCCCCATGACCATTCATTCCAAAGGGCTTCCAGGCAGTCCAAGAGAGCCCCAAAACGGCACAACAGGGGTCCAAGATGGCCCTCAAAGAGCCCCATGGCGGCCCAAGATGGCCCCAAGACACCCTCCGAAGCATTCCAAATCGTGACCCTGTCGTTCAGGGAGACCGCGGTTGGAGGCAGGGCGACCCGAGGAAGCCCCCAGAGGCCCCCAGAACACGCCCAAGAGGCCTCCAGAAGGCCTTAAGAAAGCTTGACATAACTTTCGCGAGGCCCCCAAAGGCTCTCCAAGGAGGAGCCTCCGCAAAAAGAGCCGAGAAGGATGGGGAGAATGCGTAGGGTATGGCGAAAATGAAGAAAAACAAGCATGGAGGAAGGATAAAGAATAACATTATTATAGCGGC